GTGTGTGTGTGTGTGCGCGTGGTGTGTGTGGTGTCGCTCGTACTCCAAGAGGTTCCACACGTGCGCCGCAGAGACCTACGGGGGCTCCCGAGGTGTGGTGTGTGGTGTGTGTGTGTGGTGTGTGTGCGTGTGTTTATGACGCCCGTCGTCGCCTGGTTTGGCCAACTGGCCGGAATGACCTTCTTGTCCCTCATGCTCGCCTGCATGTTCGTCATCCGCCCCGCGACCCACAGCCTCGGCACTCCAGCGGGGCCGAAGGTCGAAGGCCACGGCGCCGTCGGGACCGAACATCTTAGAAGCTGGCGATCTGATCGGCATGTGCCTTGGCAGGGCATGTGCCTTGGCAAGGCGGGCGCAGGTGTTGCGCGATTTTCCAGCCCTTCTGGTGCTCATCAAGACTCCTTTTGTCGAACGCAGGCGACCCGTGAAACTCATAATGCACCACTACTACCACCCGGAGGGTGGAGGCAGAGGGTGCTCAGGGGTGGAGCGGTGGTGTATACCATTCTTGGAGCTTTCGCGGGACACCACGCACATCTGCATTCCGCACATCAGATCATCATGCACCCCCTCCAGGTGGTGGTGGTGCGCTTCATGTTCCCGAAAATCAGTGCGCTGAGTTCGCTCTGCGCTCGTCGCGTCGCTGCCCCCGCAGATCCTGGCGCGAGCGTGACGGCGACGATGCGGCGATCCCGCCCTCGCGCGGCTGGAAGCGGGTGCCGCGGCTGGCCTCAGGGCGAGCCCCGGTGCCGCCCCCCGCCCTGCACCGCAGGCCCCTCCGCCCCCCCGCGGAAGACGCTCCTGCGAGTATGACAAGGGCCTCCCGGCCTCGCCCGGGGCGCCCCCCCCCTTCTCTGCGGCCTCCCCGGTGGACGGGAGGGAGGGAGGAGGCCGCAACCACCGAGCGAACCCGGGGAGGTGACGCCCAGCCACACCACACAGCGTTCAGCAGCGCCCATGATGGAAAGGGCCGGCCTGGTTCCGAGAGGCGGGTCGCACCTGGCCCCGTCCAGAGGGCACTCAATGGGGGCAGCCTTCCCGCCTGACAGAAAGAACAGACGGAGGTGGCGGGAGGAAGTACTTAGGAGGCGGCAGGAGAAGGAGGGGGACGAGCAACTGCTGCTCAACTCGAAACGGAGCCCCAGCCAAATAGGGGCTGACAAAACCCTCAAGGTGCTTCAACGCTTTTGGCCTCGAATGGCAATGGGAGTCCTGGAGAGGTTCTTGGAATGGGGCGCTGGGAGCGTGCTGGGACCGTCCTGGGCTGAGGGGAAATCGTATGGACCGGTATTGAGCCCATTGGCCTCCTCGACGCTGCCTTCGCCCGCCTGGTCAGGGAATCCAAAGTGGGTCCAGCGGGCCCCAGCTGCGAATCAGGGCCCCCGTGCGGTCAACTGACGGTGGTTGCGCGTCCTAGATTCGGTCCGTGCCTCCGTTGCCCCCACATGTGTAAGCGCTTGTAAGGTACCTGTGAAAAAAAGCACGTGTGTAGACATGTATGTATATACATTTAGATGCATATCTGTGCGTGTGCATGTGCACTTTCCCCAACCAGCGTTTGCATTTAGGGGTTCATCCTTCTGTTCCAAGGAACTGGGCGTCACCGCCAGTCTGGCGGCTATGTTGTCGCCGTCGCCGCCCCGTCGCCGCCTCGTCTCCGTCCGTCGTGTGGGCCTGACCGCTGGTCTGGCCGCTATATTGTCGCCTTCGCCGCAACGTCCCGTCGCCGCAGCCCCGTTGCACCCCTCCCCGCCCCGTCCCGTTGCAACCCAATCGATTGCAATCGAATCAATTGCAATCCAATTCAATCGATTGCAATCGAACCGATTGCAATCCAACCGGTCGATTGCGACCCGTTCGGTTGCAATCCAATCGATTGCAATCGATTGCGCCACATAGATTGCTCCACATGTATCTCACAACACAGATTGCACAACATCCGCCACCGTGCCTCTGGGCACGGAGTGGGAGGGTTCTCAGGTCCTTTATCCCCTGAGCCTCAGTCCGCAGTCCTGAGGAGTCAATGAGGGGCCGGACACCAAATTTCCAAACCTTCTTGGCATTGGCGCGTGCCCCCTGGGGCTTGTCCTGGCCTGTCGCGTGACTTTTTCGGGCCCACGAGGGCCCCAAGACGTGCCAAGAGGGCTCCAAGAGGCCCCCAAGACGGACCAAGAGAAGCCCGAGACGCCGAAATTTCGCCCCAAGACGCCGAAGATGGCCCCAAGATGGCCCAAGAGGCCCCAAGAGGCCTCCAAGAAGCCTCACATGAGAGCCCCGAGTGGAAACATTCATGTATCTTCCTTGGGTTGTGGAAAGAGTTTGATGGCGCTCTCGCCTTTTCTGTTCTCCGACGCTCGCATATGGCCCAAGAGGCTCGCAAAACCACTCCAAGACGGCCCAAGAGGCCTCCAAGAGGGCCCCAAGACGGCCTAAGATAGCCCTAAGACGACCCAGGAGGCGCCCAAGACGGCCCAAGAGGGCCCCGAGAGAGCCCCAAAAAGGGCCCAAGAGAGGGAACTCGAACCGAAGATCCGAGCCTTCCGCCCCAAGTGCCCCCCAGGAGGCCTCTAGGAGGCGCCTAAGAGGCCCCAAGAGCCCCCCAACATGCCCAAAGATGCCCCCAAGAGCTCCAAAAGAAGCCCCAAGGGGCCCCAAAACGCCCCCAAGAGGCCTCAAACCTGCTTCCAAGACGCCCCCGAGAGGCCCCCCACGAGATCCCAACGAACATCCAGGCTTCATACCCGCAATCCAGGCACGGTGGCGGGATGGGCCGAAGGCCATGAGATCCGCCGCCCCCTTTTGCTTTAGCAAAGGGGTGCCTGGCGTGCTAGACCCTCTCAGTTTTGGTTTGGGTTTTTTTCCAAAAGAACTCCCCCTGGGGCTCCGGCGCGTCCCGCCGGGGTCCCGGGATTTTTTCCCCTGTCCTGGTGCCCCGGCGGGGGCCTGCTCGGCTGTCTTGGAGGCCCTGGGGGCCAGCCCAAGAGGCAAACTCATAGAATAACTTTGTCCTTTCAAATATTTGTCATACTTGCCTGTTCGGTCTGAAGAGCGTCCAAGACGGCCCGAGATACCCCGAAGATCGCCACAAGACAGTACGAGGTCTCCAAGAGGGCGCAAGGGAGCCCACGAAGGCCCGAAGGGGCGTCCAAGAGAGGGAACAAGAACTCGCAATTCGATCCCTTCCCTCCGAAAGTGTCCCACCGCCAGCAGGCCCCAACAGGCCCCCAGGATGCCTCCAACGGGCCCCCAGAATAACCCCAGGATGCCTCCAAGAGCCTCGCTGGAGGCTCCCAAGATTCCCCTGAGAGACCTAGAACAAAAACCCACGAGTCTTCCAAGAGGCCTCTTGTCCAAAAAAATCCACGATCCAGGCACTGTGATGGGATGGACCGAAGGTCACGAGAATCCGCCGCCCTCGTTCCTCGCAGTGGGGTACTTGGCGTGCTAGAGTCGTCCGTGCTCGTTGGTCCGTTCAAAAGATTCCCCGTGGGGTCTCGGGCGATGCCGCCCGCCTCCCAGAAACCAGCGCCTGCATAATGGCGAAGATGGCCAAGAGGGCCCCCAAAACGGTCCCCAACACGCCCCCAAGACGCCCACGATGGCCCCAAGAGAGCCCGAAATGGCCTCAAAATACCTCCAAGACGGCCGAACGTGCACCCTCTACCGGGGCGCTACCTGGGGGGAGCCGGCAGTACGGCAACCCGAGGCCTGACCATGATTGTTGGCTCTTTCAGACGATTCATTTTGGCTTTCGGCCCGGGTGGCCTGCCGCGCCGAGGCCTCGGAATAAAAACTGAAAGCTCGTATCCAAGATGACAAACACAGGCAAATATGGACTTCAAGGCTGCCCAAAGCGCCTCCAACGCGTCAAACATGGTCCCGAGATGGCCACCCAGACGCTCCCCAGACGACAAAGATGGCCCCAAAAAGGTCAGGTCCACGAGGGCCTCTTGGGGATCTCTTGGACAGTCTTACTGCCCCAGGGAGTCCCAAGCCCGCCCAATGTGCCTCCAAGACGGGCCAAAAGGCTCCCAATAAGTCCCCAAGCGTGGCACACGAGGAGGGAATCGAGCTGACCTCGACAGTATTTACCTACAGGAGTGCCCCCCAAGAACCACAAACAAAGTCCCCAGAGGTTTCTAAGACTCCGCAAGAGGCCCTGGCACGACGCCACAGAGAAGCCCCTGCAACACACCCAAGAGGTCTCCCAAGAGCCCCCCTGCAGAACACTAAAGGCCTCCCAAACGGTCCCGAAAGCCCCCAAGAGGTCCCAGGAGAAGCTCCCACTAAGACGAAGCCGGGACGAGGAGAAATTCGGGTGAGGATAAATCGACAATCTTTGAGATCTGGCGGCTCCAGGGGATGTCTCGGGCGCCGCGGCCTTCTCAGAGCGTTCCGGAACGCTTTGAGAGCGCTCTGGAACGCTGGCCTCGTCCTGGCCCCGTCCGACTCACGTGCGTCTTTCACTCGGTCTCCTTCACGCTGCCTCTGCTGCGCTGGCGCGGCGTGCGGGACTTGCCGCACGCACTCTTGGCACCATACTAGCAGGGATTCCCCCTGGACATTCCTAGGCGCTCTTCATTGGGTGCTCCTGGGGCTTCTCTCTCTCTCTCTCTCGCGTGGTACCCATAGCCATAGGGGGGACGGAGGGGGCTAAGGGTGCGTGTTGTCGGATGGGGGTCCCCGCCCGAGCGGGAGGTCCCCCAGGGGTCCGACACCCCGCGCCCATACCCATAGCCAGGCCTCCTCCCCGCGCCCCCCCTATGGGTGTGGGTTGTTCGCTCGTCACGTAATGTTTTCACGGATGCCTCGGGAGTGCGTGGCTCTGGTTCCGCGCGGCCTCCGTGGCCGAGGATGGTCTCCAGGGACTGGGAGGGGAGGAGGGATGGGGAGGGGGGGGGGCACAACCCAAGCGGTCAAGCCGCTGCTGTCGCATCGAATTCGGCGATCGGGTGACCCCAGGTGGGCCCGCACGAATGGTCACGGTCCCTGGGGCGAAGAAGCGCTCGCACGTGCTGTCGACGTCATGGATGCCCTGGGAGCCGGCCCAAGAGGCACAGACCATTCACAACAAGCATTTAAGTTGTATGATTGTCGCGCTCGCGCCTTGTCGGTCTGAAGAAAATCCAAGATGGCCCAAGATGCCCAAATCTCTTTCCAATTTGGTCTCCGAGGCAACCAGGAGGAGCCAAAGAGGTCTCAAACATCATCCTGCTGGCCCCGCAGAAGAGGTG